CGCTCACAGATTTGTAGCAAGATGGAGCAGTACTTCCAGCCTTATTAAAGCTCTGATGTTTACAACTCTGCTTTTTACTCCGGCTCATAAGAGATCACAAACGTTCAGAGCGGTACAAAAGAGCCTCCTAATATAATCCTAACTCACCTGTTGGCTCTCTCGCTTGCTCGTTCACCTGTTTGCCTCCCCCACCGCTCCCCCGCAGACTCACACACACACAATGTTTAATATTATAGCTCTTCAAGCATCGAGAAACCTGGGTTTGATTCCCGGGCAGGGCGAAATGTTGGGCCAATCCACATGACCCTGTATACCTAGTAGTAAGTAGGAATCTGGTCGTTAGTCGATTGGTGGATCGCTTTTCCGGGGGTAAGAATTCCTTGAAAAAAAAACCCAATAATTTGGTCACTCAATCCACGACTGTTTGTGGGACACTTCGAGACATCTCAAAGAGCTTCACAGAATGCACTGTAAAGTGAATTAACTGCATATTTTGTGGACAAGAAAAGCGGCAGCCGATTGTGCACCGCAGTGTTCCAGTCGTGGATTGAGTCAATTTATTACAATTATATTTTTTGAAGGAATTATTACCCCCGGAAAAGTGATTCGACAATCAACTAACAACCGAGTTCCTACTGACTGCTCGGTAAACAGAGGTGTGTGGAGTAAGGAAACCTGCCCAACGTTTCGCCCCGTCCGGGAATCGAACCTAGGTCTCTTGCTTGCGAGGCGTGCGCTCTAACCACTGAGCTACAGGACTCCCTTAGGAGGCTTTAAGACAGCCTCTTAATAGGAACCATTCCACACCAAACGCAAAGGATTAATATCATTGCCTCTTAACAGAACTCATGGACTCTACTTTAATCGTGCTTTGTGGCAGACAATACCACAGTCTCGCGACCCTCTGTGCAAAAAATATTTCAAACCTTTCCTTTTGTTCCTTTTTGTGATTATCTCAAATCTGGGCGCTTTTCGTTCCTGATGCATTGAACTGTGGAGATAATTTACTACTATTTACCCCCACTGTAACTCTTTGAAATCTTGAAGAAGTCTTATCAGGTTACCCTTTAACCTTCATCGGTCTTGATGTCCTGTCAGGCCCCAGCGTAGCTTATTGCTACAACGTTTAGTAAGCTCTTCATGTTCGGAGCTTCTGATCTGATCTAATCTCGATCGCTGTGCATTGAATTGAATCTCATCCAGGTCAAGAGCAGACCAAAAAAAAACTATCTTACCCTAGATTTTGAAGACTTCATAAATGGGGGCATATATATTCTGTCCACTTCGATTTGATCGTAGATTCATAGATAAATATTAACATAGGAGAAGGCTATTTGTCTCAATGTGTCTGTGCCGGGGCTCGTCCACCACTGGAGCTCTCTACTCTAACCCCATTCCCTGCTCTCTCGCTCTCCTCATCGTGTCTGTGCTGGTGCTCGCTCCCCCACTGGAGCTCTCTACTCTAACCCCATTCCCTGCTCTCTCTCTCTCTCTCTCTCTCTCTCTCTCTCTCTCTCCCCATCGTGTCTGTGCTGGGGCTCGCTCCCCACTGGAGCTCTCTACTCTAACCCCATTCCCTGCTCTCTCTCTCTCTCTCTCTCTCCCCATCGTGTCTGTGCTGGGGCTCGCTACCCCACTGGAGCTCTCTACTCTAATCTCAGTTCTATTCACCTCATACCCTTTTATAGTAATGACATTCTTCCAATGCGGTGACACATTTTCACGTACACTAAATTAATTCAGTATAAATATGGAATACATTCTGTACCTGCTAACCCCCCATTGATCATCTTCTGTTCTGCAACATGTTTCATATAAAAAAAGGAATAACACCTTGTCATGCTGAAACATCTCAAAGCAAATAATTACTGTCAAGGGCAGCACTTGTTCTTATAGGCAAAGCACAGCTCATGAACAGCCATGAAGTAAATGACCAATTAATCTGAACATGTGTTTGCAAGCGCAATGGGGAAACTTCCTTTCCCCCCCCCCAATAGTGCTCAGAGGGTCTTTGACATCCGAGACAGAATGTCGCTTTGACATCTCATCCGAAAGGCAACACCTCCCAACATTGCAGCAAACTTTCCCCATCCCTCTGGAACTCCAACCCAGGACTGCGCCCCCCACCCCCCACCTCCTCGCCCCCCTCCCTTGCCTCCTTCAAGACTTTTGTTTTCCACCGCGCCTTCAGGCATCCTTCAGTGGAGTCCTGTATCTCAGTGGTCAGAGCGCTCGCCTCGCAAGCGAGAGGACCTGGGTTCGATTCCCGGGCAGGACTAAACTTTGGGTAGGTTTCCTTGCTCCACAACACGCCTCTGTTTACCCAGCAGTAAGTAGGAACCTGGTTGTTCGTCGATTGGCAAATCGCTGTTCCGGGTTAATAAAATAAAATAATATATTTTAATATATTCAAAATAAACAATAATAATTTGGTCACTCAACCCACGGCTGTTTGTGGGAACGCTGCCGTGCGCAATTGGCTGCCGCGTTTCCCCCACAAGAATAGACAGTCAATTCGCTTTACAGTATATTCTGTGAAGCGCTTTGAGACGTCTCGAAGTTGTGATGAGGCGCTGCATCAAATACAAAGATTATTATTATTATATAAATGCAATTTGTTGTTGTTGTTGTTGTTGTGCTTCGTCCTGCATTGAGAGCATCAGCCGGGACTGTGAGCTCAAACCCCTGATGTGGGACTTGAATCTACAAACTACAGAGCCACAGCCAAAGTAACTCTAATAATTCTACCCGTCAAGGAGCATGACGGAATGTGCCACAAAGTTTAATACTTGATTATTAACAAAGTGTTTGCTCATACCCGTTGCTTGAATCCTATATAAAAAAAGAGTCACTCATTCTGGTAGGAGGGGTTCGTAGCAAGAACAATTCATCTTTGCATTTAATATAGCACCTTATCACATCATTGAGACATCTCAAAGCGCTTCACAGGATATGCTGTAAAGTGGAGTGACTGTGTAGCTTGTGGGCGAAACCTAATGTAAAGGTTAATGTTTGAGAAGCTGATTTTTTTTGGTTTAGCCCAAAACAGCCTTAAAATTCACCAGTCTGTGTAGGATTTGTCTTCTCTCCTACTCCCATCCTCCCCCTCCTCCAGCTGAAAAAAAAATCAGAGAGACAACCGGTGATTTGGCAACCTTGATGAAGAAGGTTCGTGCTCCTTTAATGCAAAGCAAAGTAAGAAATGTATATTGTTGTGTTGTACTGGTCCTTTAAGTTCCTGGCTGGCACAGAAACAGGCTCCACATTGTATTCAACCTGCACTGATACCACCGATAATCCTTGCATTTGACATATCGAGATGTCTCAAAGCGCTTCACGGAACACACTGCAAAGTGGAGGACTGTATAATTTGTGGGCAAAACACGGCAGCCGATTGCGAGCAGCAGTGTCCCACAGACGGTCACGGTCATGGATTGAGTGACCAAATTATTATTATTTTTTTTTGAAGGGTTCGTTACCATTCAAAAAATACTACACATATATATATAAAGTAAGTAAGCACTGTACTCAGAAACAAGCCATCGCTCAGTCTCACCTCCTGCAAAGGGGATGTGTGTGTCACCCACCTGCTGGATTGCTGTGCCTTTAATCTTTAGTGGATTACATGTGTGTGTGTATGTATGCACGTGTATACACAAATGCATACACACACATCCCACTCCACACACACACACACATACAACCCACTTCACACATGTACACACACATATATACAAACACCCCACTTCACACACATACATCCCTCTCCACAGACACACATACATACACCCCACTTCACACACACACATACATGCACACTCCACACATACACATTACATACATCCCACTCCACACACACATACATCCCACTCCACACACACATATATTCACCCCACTTCACACACACGCACATACAACCCACTCCACACACACACATACAACCCACTCCACACATGTACACGCACACATATATACAAACACCCCACTTCACACACATACATCCCTCTCCATGGACACACATACATACACCCCACTTCACACACACACATACATGCACACTCCACATATACACATTACATACATCCCACTCCACACACACACATACATCCCACTCCACACACACACACACACACACATACATAAACATAACACTTGACACAAACATAACACATACATACACCCTTCTCCACATACACAGACACACATACATATACACCCCACTTGACACACGCAGCACACACACCCCATTCCACAGACGCGCACAAAGCAACTGATCATTTTTTTAAACTCTTATTTGCAACTGCAAAGAGTTCAGTGATTGATCAAACGACACACATCAGTGCTTGTAACTGAAAGGCAAAGCAGCTCTGGACAAACACAGCTATCTCCACCCTTACGTGATGTGCAAGCAAAGAGTTCTCGATTTCATCTTAACAACTACGAACACAGCATCCATCCAGTCTTTCTCTCACTCTTTATATATATATATATTTTTTTGCAGGTCTTGCATCCCATCAGTTTGCCAGGTCACATTTCTCAGTGTTAAATTGACTGTGAACACTTGGCCAAATAGGAATTGAGATGATGGGGTGTGTGTGTGTGTGGGATTGAAGGAGAAGAGGAGAGGAGGGTAATAAAGGTGTATGTGTGTGTGTGTGGGGGGGGGGGGGAAGGAGAATAACAGTAAGTGCAAATCAAACATGCCTTTATTTACACCTTCTGCTTTGGTAGTGAATGCCAGAGAAAACCAGTGACAGATCGATTTGAGAGAGAGAGAGAGAGAGAGAGAGACATAGAGAGGGGGGACACTGGATTGCAATGCGTTTTATTTGAGAACAAGTACTTGCCATCACAATCTCTGTGTGTGTGTGTCTCTCTCTCTACACATCACACACACACACACACACAGATGCAGTCACAGTGAATAACATGCATGCATTAGATTGAGTGTGTGTGTGAGAGAGAGAGAGGGAGAGAGAGGGAGAGAGAGCTATTGGGTGGGTGTATGGGTGAGGGTTGTGGTTTGCACAGTCCATGTGTACCGCCTCTGATGCGGAGGAATATTTTGGCAGAGGTTGGCATTGAGATCTAGTTCAGTGTGTGGCAGTGTTTGGAGAGAGAGACAGAGAAGGAGAGAGAGAGAGAGAGAGAGAGAGTCTATCTGATGCTAACGTTATCCTCTGCAACTAACCAACCAACCAACCAACCAACCCAGTGCAAAACAACACAGAGCCCAGACCACATCCCAAACCCTCCTGAAAATGATTGTCGCTTCATTCTGCTTCGTCGGATTGCTCCTGTGCACTGGAGAAGGTAGGATTGACACACACACACACACACACACACACCTCTACAGATGTGCATATATATATATATATATATTATGTATTTTTTATACGTGTGATAAGATGCACTGGAATCAGCCTTTGGCTGCAATGCAGTCGACTGAGGCTTCAAGACCGACAGTGGGGGGAAAGGCAAAAAAAAATAATAATGCAAAGTGTATTGTTAGACTCACAGTTGTTAGTCGCAATCATTTGTGCAATTCCAAGGGGTTTCTCTTTATTTTTCCAGACCTTATCACAAGCATTCACACACACACACACACACACACCACATTTAAAGAGGTGGTGGTGGGGGGGTGGGGGGGGGAGGAGGTGAGTTTTTGCAAATGTTTCTGTAGCTGCTTTGGAAAATCACTGGTAGTTCACAAAACACACACACACACACACACACACACACAAGAGAGATTAAATGCTGTGTTTGTGTGTATTATTTGGGGGTAAAGGGGGAGAGTAGGGAGGGAGGGGGGTGGTGGTGGGGGGGGGGAATGCAATATTTGTTTCTGTTGGGTTCCTATCTGAATGTGCTTTCAAGTTTACTAACTGTGGGGTTTTTTTTTTGCTCTGTGCTGTGTGTCTGTTTCTCTTTCTTTCTCTCTCTCTCTCTCTCTCTCTGTCTGTCTGTCGCCTTGAATCGATTCAAATAGTTTGTTGACTGGAAGATTGGCACATTATGAATTCGAGAAGGAAAAGAGAGAGAGAGAGAGAGGGAAAGAGAGAGAGGGATGGGGTGGTTGGTTGTTTGGAAGGTTGGTTGGTTGTTCCACAAAATACTTACTCAATGATGTGAATTTCAACCTGGTCCCTGTGTTGCTGAGTGGAACTGTACAAGGTCACACTGGGTGTATCTTGTGTGTGTTGTTTCTGAAATGTATTCTGTTTGTGTTAAAGAATGCATAAAATACTTCTTTTGTGGGGGGGGGGGGGGTAGGGTTGGAGGGAAGGGGAAAGGGTTGAGGGGTTGGGGGAAAAGTGGGAGGGTTGGGGGTAGGGGTGAAGGGTTGAGGAGTGGGTGTGGGGGGTGGGGTTGGTTTGCTTTCTCGATGAGCCGCTTCGGGTATGGATGCTGAGCGCTCCGAGACCCTGCCCTGCGTGAAGGGGCCGCTGTGTAAATGCAGAGCCGTTGTGGCCGTTATCTGGCGAGCCATTCGATCAAGTTCGAACCGGCGGCTGAGCTAAGTTGCGTTGTAACGAGGTACGTGCCGGGGGTCCTGTATTTGCACGTTTGTGACCCGAACCAATGTCGACGACCAAATTGTTAGGATTCTTGTATGTGTTTCGCTGCGTGTGGTATTTTTTTCAGAGAGAGAGAGAGAGGCGGAAGGAAGAAAACCCAGAGAGAGAGAGAGAGAGAGAGAGATTGTTTGCACTTGTTTGCATTCGAAACTTCAATTACGAGCTTCAAAGACACCGGGTTTAACCGATAAATAGAAACTTTCAATTGTGTGCTGCGTTGTGAAACATTTTTCACCATCAAAACGCTTCTCTCTCTCTCTCTCTCTCTTGGTCTCTCTCTCTGCGTGACATTGAGTATTGAGAGATGTTGAGGTATACCATCTTCGTACAGCAGGGGATGCTCGTGGTATAAGTTTTGGCTGCAACTCATCTAGAGTTTAGTACAGTGACACGAACTGTACAAGCAAAGGCAGACTTCAATTCAATTCCACTACTCTGAATCAGAGTCCTTCAGCGCGTCGGTTAGAGCGCTCGCCTCGCAAGCGAGAGGACCCCGGGTTCGATTCCCAGCCGGCCAGGGCGACACCTTAGGCAAGTTTCCTTCCTCCACCACACACGCCCCTCTTTTGCTGAGCGGTAAGCGGGAACCCGGTTGTTAGTCGAGTGGCAGATCGCTTTTCCAGGGGTAATAATCCCTCCAGAAAAAATAAAATACGGAATCCCCCACTCAATCCACGACTGTTCGTGGGACATTTCTGTGCGCAATCGGCTGCCGTGTTTCACCCATAAAATATACAGTCAATACACGTTACAGTATATTCTGTGAAGTGCTTTGAGATGTTTCAACGACGTGATAAGGTGGTGTATCACATGCAAATGTAAGGATTATTATTTGCTATTATTAATCCCTCTCTCCTCCTCTCCCCTCAAATATCCTCTTACCCCCTCCCCCCTTTAGTTTTCTTTCTGCTCTAATGCATGGCGAGCATATCTCTTTGAAAATAAAGCTGGTACCCAGTACAGCGTTGTAAGCCAAGCCCCTGATTTCCATCTGCATCGTGCCGTAAACACCATCCCAACCCATTTCATTAAGCTTCCAAGATGCTTGGCCAGTTTTTCCCTCCTTCTCCCCATCATCTCAATCTTTTTCTTTTAATTGTGCAATCCTCATTGCATCTGTCCTTTTTTTTTTACGTAATCAATTCGTTTCATTAAGCTTCCACGCTCCCAACCCGCCCCCACCCAAAAAAAACATGCACAAGAAGCTTGCATTTGGAAAGATTTTTTTAATAATAATAATCATCCTTGCATTTGATTTAGCGTCTTTCACGTCGTTGACATGTCCTCAAAGCACTTTGCAGGATATATTGTAAAGTAGTTCGACTGTGCATTTTGTGGGCGAAACGCGGCAGCCAATTGCGCACAGCAGCGTCCCCACAAACAGTCGTGGATTGAGTGGTCATGTTTTTTTTGTTGCTTGGAATTGGAAATAGCAGGTTGGGAGAATTTTGTGAAGCAGATGGGAGATCAGACAATAATGGAACAGTTACAGTCACAGCAGTATTCCAGTACTCCAGGTCACTGCCGATGACAGCACAGCCCGGCCTGGCTCATCGGCAGGACCTGGAAGGCAAACCAGTCACTGGAGACAGGGAATCCTCCCACTCAGCTCCTGTTAACCCTACAAGCCAAAGCCCTAACGGGTAGGGTAGTCCTTGCTGGACAAGCAGCGGGAAAGCTTGGCCAGACAGCAGCATCAATGGTAAGCTACGTGGTTTTAGCTGGTTAGACTTCAGCAGTTACCCTCAACGCACACTCTGGGGTCCCCCCCAAGCCTTGGCTCTTGCCAACCTGCGCCTGATACTTTCCAGAATTAGGTAAGGAGGATGCGTCCCTCCAGGGAGAGAGAGAGAGAGAGAGAGCGCATTCCATTCCAACAATCTTATCTCTGGGATTCCCATGTATAGATGGGATGCGTATAATTCTCAACTTGGTTTGGAGACTCTTAAGGCTGGTGGTGGGTTTCCGCACGTGTCAGACACCCGGCTGACCAGTCACAGCACCACAGGGTTACAGCAACAGGGTGAGCACTGGATTTGGGAGGAATGATGTTCATTTCACACTTTGATGCATTGAAACTATCATAATAATAATAATAATAACCTTGCATTTGATATAGCGCTTTTCACGTCGGGAGGACATCCCAAAGCGCTTCACAGAACACACTGTAAAGTGAATTGACTGTAAATTTGTGGGTGAAACGCGGCAGCCAATTGCGCACAGCAATGTCCCACAAACAGTCGTAGATTGAAAATGACCAATTTACTATCTTTTTTTTGGTCACTAATGAGTGAGAGAGAGAGAGGAGGTGGTGGGAAGACTGTAAATCATGGAGGACATTTAGCAAACTATAGGTCTTAACCAGTTTTTGGGGTGGGGGTGGGGGGGGGGGGGCGGTGGGAGAGAGCTAAGGGTGGAGGTGTGATGGGGGGGAGGGGGGGCATTGCATGCAGGAATGAGCTCATGATCGTCAAATGCTTAGATTGAAGTATTGTCAATTAGGGTGTGTCCCCGCTAGAGCCAATCTGGCAGAAACCCCCCTCCCACAACACCCCCTGTTGAAAACACATCCCACCCTTGACTGAAATATGGCCCACCCTTTACGGGAAATGTGTCACCCCTTGACAGGAACACTACCCTCTCCACATGCCCACTCCGCACTGCCGTTTACCCCCCCACACAAGCCTCTGGTTACCCAGCAATAAGTAGGAACCCAGTTGTTAGTCGATTGGCAGATCACTTTGCCGGGGGCAATAATCCCCTTAACAAAAAAATAATAATAATAAATTGGTCACTTCAATCCACGACTGTTTATGGGACGCTGCTGTGGGCAATTGGCTGTCGTGTTTCGCCCACAAAATATGCAGTCACTCCACTTTACAGTATATTCTGCAAAGCACTTTGTGACGTCTTGAAGACATGATAAGGCGCTATATCGAATGCAAGGATTATTATTATTTTTAAATGAAAAACACTACACAAATGCAAGTTGTTTTGAATGTATGCGTCAAATAGACAGTATTACAGGATAAATCCTCGATATATATGTATATTGTGTTGTGGTCTAATTTGGGTATATCTTAATAAAAAATTGTGTTCCCATCAAATTCGAATTTCCAAAACATTGAATGTGCTGAAGAATGCATTATTGTATCTTTGAAGGCATTTGCTCAGCCCCCTTTTGTTTCAGGAATTCAATAATGTACACATATATATTCTTTCTAACTTTGTTAAGCATCACAAATTCTACCTCTGTTAGCTCAATAAAATGTAAATGTTAGCAAAACCTAAACCTCTTCGTATCCGACGAATTCTGGCTCGGTTGTAAAGTCGTAAGACACTGAAAAAAATATGTGGAAGTATTTTGTCCACAAAATATACAGTCAATTCACTTTAGGGTATATCCTGTGAATATCCTTTGAATAAGACGTGATAAGGCGCTATATCAAAGCAAGGATTATTATTATTATTATTACTATTATTAGATTGTATTTGGCACCATGGGAATCATTGATGTTGCATTCAGTAATTAAGTTGCTTAGGCAGGCTGTCAACTACAACAACCTCCACTTATATAGTGCCCTTCACATAGGTAGCGTCCCAGAGCGCTTCACAGTGGCGGAGTCTGACCCCGAGCCAGGGGGAGAGGGGGGGGGGGGGGGGGGGGGGGGGGAGAGGTGACCATAAGCACGATCAAACAAGGAAGGTATTTAGGCAGGATTGGAAAGTGGGGAG